GGAGGATTGGCAATAGATGTTAGCTCAGAGCCAGTCTTCCTCAGCAAAAAGAGGAGGATTAGCATGGATGTTAGCTCATGGCTGATCTTCCTCACAAAAAAAAAAAAAAAAAAAGAAAGAAATTGAGGCCTTCTGCCAACAGCCATGCGAGTGAGCCAGCTTAGAAGTGGCTTCTCCAGTCTCAGTCAAACCTTCAGAGGACTGCAGCCCTGGCTGACATCCTGACTGCAACCACAAGAGAGATCCTGAGCCAGAACTACTCAGCTAAGCTGCTCCCGAATTCCTGATGGACAGAAACTGTGAGATGATAAATGTTTGTTGTTTTAAACCACTAAATTTTGAGATTATTTGTTACATAGAAATAAATAATTAATATACTCCAAACAAAATGAAATAATACCAGATTTATTCTTTTATTTTTAAAAGTTAAGAAAGTACCATGAGCCCATTTGTGATACAATATATCACTTTGGGGGAGGTGGGAGGCAGTGGGTAGTATTAAGCCATTTTGAAGATAAAATGTTCTAAATCTGTTAGTATGTTTTGAAATAATGACCACTTTTTTTTTAAGTTCGAGATTGTTTAAACAAAAAGAGACAAGTCTGAGTAAACAAACTTCAACAGTGTGAACTAAAGCTCAGAAATTGAATGCTGCATTTTTAATGTCCTTTTGCAGTGTTCTCTCTAGCCTCTAACCCTCTCCTTAATATAGCAAAATCATCATACTCTTTGGCAAAAATAGTTTCCCTTCTCTCTCTTCTCTCTTTGACCTTGGCCATTAGAGTTTAAAGGAAATTCAACTGTGAGTCTCAAGACAGCTACTAAGGAAGAAGTTATTTCCACCAACCTGGGTGCAAATATTTGGCAGACACAGGGCAATTTTCACCATATCAGGTAAAATGGACTGATACAAATGTTGAGCTTCTGCTTCTTCAAGCACCTGAAAACCAATAAAATATGTTATCAGTGAATAATAATCAATGAACAAATGTCTTTTATGAAATTAAATTACATATCTGCTTTTCATAGGATCCCATAATAAAGCACATTATCAGCATCATCAAACACACATAAAAGCACATGAACAGATGCACTAATTAACTTACAAGTTCATTTCCAAATGTATATAATTCACCTTAATGCCCTCTGAAAACAAATTAAGCATCCCGAGTATGAAATCTCTCTCCTGTTAACATTCACAATTAATAAAACACTTGCAAATGAAAAACAGTACATTCTGCCCTTGGTTACATCAACCAAAAACTGCTAGACCACCAAGGACTCTCTGAGAAGCCCGCAAGGACCCATCTAGCTTCAATAGTCTATAACTTAAAGAAATCACCATAACAGCCACACTAATTATTTCAGAGCATATTATGTGTGTCAAATCTAACCTACTGGGTAGTAAACAATGAGATTTCTGATGACCTTACAATTTTCCATTTCCAGGCACCCTTGGGAAGTTAAAACCACAATTCCCATATCATAATTTGAAGTACAACAAAGCCAACATTCATGGCCATTTTTGTCTTTTATAATTTCCTCTCTCTACAAGGCTTTAGAAATTACTTTGGGTCTTTTAATCCAATGTCTCTCTAAACATTAGGGTTACTTCTTTAAAAGTATTGAAAATGAAAAGACTCTTAATTTAGAGATACTACATACACAGTCAGGATTAAAGTAAATCATTTATCTGAAACCACATTTGAACTAGAAGAGGTCTCAGTTATAATCCAGTCTGATCTTGTCATTATTACAGTAGAGAAAAGAAAACTGAGGCCAAGGAGGTTCCCTGATCATCCCAGATTGAGAAGGTCAAGTAGCAACTAAATCAGAACTAGAACCCAAGTGTTGTGGCCTCTACTCCATGGCTCTCCTCACTTCCCCATGTGACCAATGTTTGGGATTGAGGAGACTCTTCACAAATATCTATAGATTTCCTTTGCTATCAGGAGCTAAGCTGAAATAAAGGAACATTCACTCGTCTATCTGCATCTGGACAGGATAGGTGTGTAAAGAGAAAAAATAACAAAGATAATTTACATTCACTCTGGTTTTACAGGGAAGTTCTAACACTAAGAATTTTCTTTATACCAAAGCTCTAAAACCCAACCTACACTTACCTCCCTCTTTAAATCAGCATGATGGGAAAACTGACATTCAGGATGAACAGAAAGGTATTTGCAATTCAGGGAGTTTGGAATTCAATTAATCATAGGTATAGAGAAAACTAAGCAAGTGAACAACACAAGACAATTATTAAATCTAGGGAAACAAAAAGTTGTACAAGAGTGGAAAAGCAATCATATTTCAGACATGAATAGTGTTTTTACCACCCTACTACAAAAACAAAATATGGATCTAATTGAAATGAATATGATAACTATAGTGGGAAAATGGGGAAGTAGAAATAAGGCTGCATTAGTGGTGATGCGGGAAGTGAATGATAGCTAAATTCTAATCTTCCATAATGTGAAGTTACGTTAAAAAAAAAAAGCTAACGAGTTTGAAGTGGTTAAATGGCTGCCTCTTCATTATAAGCCCTTTAATGCTACTAAAAATAAAAACTAAATTAAAAAAAAATCATACATTCACAGAAGGCATTCTACTATTTTACAATTTTAATGCACACATTAAAGATATTTGCTTCCCTGTACCCGAAAATCCATAAAATATATTAATGTATACATTTAAGATATTCAAACTCTTCTTACTCATGATTTATCTTTTTGCTTTTTAAAACATTTTATTTTAAAATAATTATTCACAGGAAGTTGTAAAAATAGTATAGAGAGGTCCAGTTTACCCTTCACTCAGCTTCCCTTAGTGGTTACATTTCATATAACTATAGCACAATATCAAAACCAAGAAATGAATACTGGTACAGTGTGTGTGTATTGTTCTCTGCTATTTTATCACGTGTATATTTGTGTAACTACCACTGAAATCAAGACACAGAAGTGTTCCACTACAACAAAGATTTCCCTCATGCTACTCATTTATAGTTACATCCTCCTTCCTCCAACCATTCCTAAGCCCTAACAACCACTAATCTGTTTCCCATCTCTATAATTTTGTCATACTATATAAATGGAATCATACAGTATGTGTCCTCTTAAGATTGACTTTTTTCACTCAGCATAATGTCCTTGAGATCTATCCAAGTTGATGAAGTATCAATAGCTAATTTCTCCTTATTGTTGAGTAGTACTCCATAGTATGAATATACCACAGTTTGTTTAACCATTTACTTACTGAGGGGCATTTTAGTTGTTTCCAGTTTGGGGCTATTACAAATACAGCTGCCTTTTACTTTCAACCTGCCTATATTGTTGTGTCTGAAATGATTTCTTGTAAATAACATATAGTGTGTCATTTTTTAAAATCCACTCTGTAAATCTTTTAATTGGTGAATTTAGACTATTTACATTTAATCATTGATATGTTAGGACATATTCATTTCATTTTTTATTTTTTATTTTTTTTACTTGTTTTCTTTTTCCCTTCATTCCTGTGGGTTACTTGAACATATTTTAGAATTTCATTTTTATTTACCTAAAGTGTTTTTTGAGTACATCTCTTTGAACAGATTTTTTTTTTTTATTGGCTGTTCTAGGTATTACATTATATATAACTTATCACCGTTTCCTGGTGTCAACATTTCACCAGTTCCAGTAAAGTATAAGAACTTTACCTTTCTCTAAGTTCCTTTACCCTCCGCCATTTAATATGATTTTCTTCAATATTTCCCTATATATATATTGCAAACCACATTTGACAGTGTTGTGATTTTTTAAAATAGTAAAAGAGAAAATGCCAAACACAATTTAGAATACTCAAGAAGAAAATTCTATTATATTTATATTTTTACTCTTTCTGTTGTTCTTTCTTCCTGCCTCATGTTCCAAGATTCTATCTTTTATCATTTCCTTTCTTTTTTTTTTTAAAGATTTTATTTATTTATTTTTTCCCCCCAAAGGCCCAGTAGATAGTTGTGTATCATAGCTGCACATCCTTCTAGTTGCTGTATGTGGGACGCGGCCTCAGCATGGCCGGAGAAGCAGCGCGTCGGTGCGAGCCCGGGATCCGAACCCGGGTCGCCAGCAGTGGAGCGCGCTCACTTAACCACCAAGCCACGGGGCCGGCCCAATCATTTCCTTTCTGTTTCAAGAAATTCCTATAGACATTCTTTTGTGATAGGTCGACTAATGACAAATTCTCTTCCTTTCCTTCATCTGAGATGCCATGGTTTCCCTTTCATTCTTGAAGGATATTTTCACTCGATATGGAATTCCGGGTTGACAATTCACTTCTTTTAGTCCTTCAAAAATATTATGTCACTTCTTTCTGGCCTCTGTGTTTTCTGATGAGAAATCCACTGTCATTCACACTGTCTTTCCCCTAGAGGCAATGTGTCATTTTTCTCTTGATGCTTTCAAATTTTTTCTTTGCCTTTAGTTTTAAGAAGTTTGACTACAATATGTCTTGGCACAAATTTCTTTGGGTTTATCCCGTTTGGCATTTGCTCTGCTTCTTGAAGCTGTAGGTTCATGTCTTCTGTCAAATTTGGGAAATTTTCAGCTATTATTTCCAGTTTACAGCCACGATTTCTTTGAGCATCTTTTCAGCCCTGCCCCCTTTCTCCTCTCCTTCCAATACTAAAAATGACATGAATGTTAGATCTTTTCTTATAGTCTCACAGGTCCCTAAACTGTTAATTTTTTTTTCCAGTCTATTTTCTTTCTGTGTTCAGATTGAGTAATTCTTTTGTTCTTTTTCAAGGTGATGGATTCTTTCCTTTGTCATCCACATTCTTCACTGAGCCCGTCCACTGCATTTGTTAAAAATTTTAGTTACTGTATTTTTCAGTTCTAAAATTTCCATTTGATTCCTCTTTACAGCTTCCATTTCTATGCTGAGACTATTTTTTCATTTGTTTCAAGCAAGTTTGTAATTGCTCATTGAAGCCTTTTTGTGATGGCTGCTTTAAAATCCTTGTCAGATCATTCTAATTTCCATGTTATCTCGGGGTTCGTGTCTGTTGATTGTCTTTTCTCATTTCAGTTGAGATTTTCTTGGTTCTTGGTGATGAGTGATTTTTGATTGAATCTGGATATTTGGGGTATTATGTTATAAGACTCTGGATCTTATTTAAGTCTTGTTTTAGCAGGCCTTCTGTGACAGTGGAAGGGGAGAGCCACCCCATTATTGCCAGTTAGGAGTGGAAACTCGGGTTTTCTAGTCCACTTTTGTTGGCTTCCAGAGCAAGGAGGAGAAGAGGCATCTTGATACTGCTGGGTGGGGTGAGAGTTCAGGCTGCCTACCAGGGCTCTGCTGATACCACCCTGGTGCCATATCTTCCTGAGGGCCCACAGACCCTAGCTGGTCAGTCTTCTTTCCACCTTTCAGAGTCTTCTTACACTTATATATATATAGTGTCCTGTATTTAGCAGGAGTGATAGGGAGAAGTGTCTATCCAAACATTTTTAACTTAAAAACATTTAACCTTAAGTGTCTAAATAGGCTGACAACTTCTTCTCCTTTGAGTACCTGTCCTTGTCTTTTAAAATTGACATATGAGTAGCTGCTGCCATGCTTTGCTCTCAGTCACAAACTTTAAAATATCACTTATTTATCTGATGAAGCCTTATTGCACTGGATTTCTTCAAAACTATTAACATTTCAGACGTACGTCTAACGCTGCTTTGGAAACACAACTGAAAACATAAAAAAAAAGTCATTAGAGAACATAACCAACTCAGCTACTGTTTGAGATGGAATGCATAATTAAAAAAACTATCATGATCTTATGCCCTTTCACATATTATTAGTATGTTTATTCAAATCTTACCTTTTACAAATTATTATTTACTATTTATTAATCTCTATAATTTATTAATCCATACAATGCAAACCAAGATATGTCGTAAAGTTTTTAAA